CCCGCTGGGTCTCCAAGCTCGCGGTTCCCATCCATTTGCCCTTGGTGCCGAGGCCTCGTGCTCGACCTGACCCAGACAGCAAAAGACAGCGGCGCCCGGCGGCCAGCCTGCAACGCCGCAAGGAGTCACTGCCAGAGGAGCTGCACGAGGGTTTCGAGGCCTCCCAGGGCCTGCTGGCGCCTCAGGCCGAGTGCGAGAGGGAGTCTGGCGCACCCCACGCTGTGTCTGATGATACTTGGTTGCAGGCTGGCGCGGCTCTGATTGGTTGGGCTACTGCTGCGCCGACGTGGTCCTCTACTTCGCGAGCGGGGCCAGTCGCCTTGGGCGTCGGTGTGTGTGTGTGTGTGTCCCTCCCTGGGGGAGGCGTGGGCCCGACTGTCGGTGGGCCCCCTGCGTGAGGCGTGGGCCCGGCGGCCCTGGGGTGGCCGCCCCCGCGGGCTACGGCGTGCCCCTCCCTGCGGGAGGCGGGGGCCCGTCCGTCGGTGAGTCCCTCCTTGGGAAGCGTGGGCCCGAACTCAGCCCAGCAGGGGTGGCGGCTGGCGCCGCGGCGCGAAGGCCTCGGGCCACCCTGGACGACGATTTCGACGATTTTGATTGGTTGTCTCGGTGTGGCTTCTCCCAAGAGGACGGTGCTCTTGCTGACGTTCAACCCGCTCTGGCGTGCCCCGTGCACGCAGCCGTAGGCAGGGTATTATATCAAGATGTTCCTGTTGGTTCCTACGATGGCGTGGGACTTGCGGGAGCGGCTGAGCATTTCCCCGCGGGGAGAGATGACTCCACGGCCGCCTCTCTCAGATCGCACCTTTCTCGCATGCCCATGCTCAGGCCGCCCGAGCCCATGCCTGGCGTTGTCGACCGCTCGGTGCTCGGCCAGCGGTTCATCCACTGGACTATCGTATTCTACAAAGGCGGCCCGAGTCTCGCGACCTCATGTCTGACGCTTACCTGTGCTGGGTGACCATGGCGGAGGAGGCCATCCTCACCACCGAGGGCATCGTCGGTGGAGCGCGCGATCGCTATATTGGTAGAGCGGCGGCTGTGTATTCTGCCATGGACCTACTCTGCCGTGCTCCTATGTCCTATGTGTTAAAGTTAAAGTTAAATACGGTGCCTTCAAGGCTAAAAGGGTGCCCAGAACAAAACACGGACAAGGCCAGACGGGACCAGCGTTCCCGGGAGAAGCCGAGCCCTGCAAGCACGAGGGGCCTCCAGGGGCACCAAGCGCCACCCGAGACACGCCCTCCCGAGAGGGGCCGCCTAGGGCCGCTTCTCCCCGCGGGGGCCGCGCTGGGCCTCCACCGCGGCTGCGCCACAAGGCGAGAACATATCTACATACATAATGCAATTGCCCACCTCACGCACTACTCTTGGGCAGCGTCGCGCAACGCGCACGGGCCAGAAGACCGTCGAGGAGCCGCGCGCGCTCCTCGGCACCTGGGCAACCTGCGCGGCCGAGGCAGAAGCCGAGGGCGCGGGCCTCGGCCCAGTCCAGGAGTGACTCAACTCCCGACTTCGGCCCCTGGGCCGCACGCGCCACCGCCGCCGCCGAGAAGTCGCCCAGGAATGAAACGAACCCGCGCTCCGAGCCCGAGTGGCCATCGCCCGCGGCGCAGCCGACGGAGTCCGCGACCAGGGGTTCCATGCCGACGGCGTGCTCGATGGCCGAACCTCCCACGGGCTCCTCCACGACGGCCACGGGCGGCGGCCGCGGCGCCCCAGCGCCCACGGCCACGGGCCCCTCGCGCCCAGGCCCCTCGGCGAAACGCACTCTCCAGGTGAGTCGCCGACCAGGCCTCGCGGAGATGCCGAACCTCTCGCACTCGCAGAGGTGCATCAGGTCGACGGCCTTCGCCTGGCTCGTCCAAGCTGGGTCCGCCCACTGCGGGATAGGGCCATGCCGAAGGGCTCCTGCCGCGCCGAGCGGGCACGGAGCGAAGGATGCCCGCTTGACCCTCGCACACCCTTGCCCGACAGGAACAGCCCCGCTCAGCTCCCTGGCCCTCCTGTCGCCGAGCAGCCCGCGCGGCGCGGGCGCCGCGTCGCCCCCCCCGGACTCGCCCTGTCCCTCGGGGCCAACCGCGGAGCCGCCGGCCACGAGCTCCACCGCGTCGCCAGGCGGGCTCGCCAGAACCGCCACGTCGGTCTCTACCGCCTCGGCGCGCCCGGCGCCGTCCTCGCCGGAGCCCTGCTCGGCCAGCTGCGCCGCGCCGAGCTCCTCCAGCAGCGCGGCCCAGCGCGCCCACTGGGGAAGGTGCGGCTGGGCGCCAGAACGCAGTGGGGTCCTCGCGGCCGCCGCTCGGGCGCCGGGCCGCCGCGCTGGCGCATCAGCCACGCAAGCATCCACAGCGCACACGAACGGCGGCTGCACCTCGCAGACGCAGGTCTCCACCTCACACACGATGGCACTCTGTGCCGCACCGCCACGCCCATCACAGGGAAGGGGCCCTCCTGGGAGGCGCGGCCCGCGCTGAGCCCTGCGCCACGTCTGCGGCGGGGCGTCGGCCGACGGGCAGTGCTCGGCATGCCACGCGACGTTCTGCCTCTGCCGTTGCGCCCTGGTCTCGCGGCGTCCGCGGACGCGCGCCACCAAGGCGGACCGCGCGATGGCTTCGCGGCGAAAGGCTTCCGCCTCCGCGGCGTCGCCGCGCGACCCGCGCGCCAGCTGCGCGCGGAGGCTGGCGATGACCGCCTTCGCCTCTCGCAGCTCCCTGTCCAGCCGTCTCACCAGGTTGTCTGCCGCCCATCGGGCCGCCGCGACACCGGTGAACACCTCCCGCGCCAGTCTGCCCAAGCGCCCGCGCGCGGCGAGCGCCCGAGCACGGCCTTGAGCCAAAATGGCTACGGATGTGCTCCTATGTGTTCTGCCGTGCTCCAGCGTGTTCTGCCGTGCTCTTGTATGTTCTGCCGTGATCATATGTGTTCTGCCGTGCTCCTAAACAAGTTTTGTGTGATCTGCCGCGCTCCTGTGTGTTCTGCCGTGCGCCTGTGTACTCTGTGTTCTGCCGTGCTCCTCGTGATCCTATGTGCAGGAGCATGGCAGAACTCACAGTTGCACGGCAAAACACACAGAACATTTATTTTGTTAGCCGCACCCACAAGCACACGCACATGGGCACACGCATACAGGCACACGCACACGGGCACACGCACACGCACACACAGACACATACACACGCACACGCACACACACACACACACGCACACGCAGAACGGATTCCCTTCGGGGATCATCCGTTTAAATTGGAACGATACACGCGCACACGCAGAAGGCCACATGCATTCACGCAGACCGCAGGAGCACGGCATAACAGCACGGCATAATACAGCAGTGCCGCAGACCACCACGGACGGTCACACATGCACATATTCCATGCACGCACGCGCACCTGCAAGCGCACGAACGCCACGACATATCTGCGCGGCAGACCAGCAAACGAGCACACTGCACATACCCAGTGGACACAAGCGACGCTTTCCCCTCGTGTCCGGTCATCCTCCTCGTCTGAGCACTAAGTCTGTCGGTAGGGCGGGCTGCGCGTTTGGCCTGAGACGTTTTCACAGCTTGTGGTCATAAAATTGGACTTTCCCAAGAGCTTCAAGGATGGAGGTCGGGCCATGTTCAACATGGAGCTCTGGCCCGAACGCCGCGCACATTCAGTTTTACAAACTTACAACAACTATACGGATAGAGTGTGGGCCGTTTCTAAAATTTGGCCGTCGCCCTGGCGCCGTTCACGTTCGTTTCAAACGCCTGCAAGAGTCACGGGTATGGAGGACCGTGTCAGGTGATTTTTCTTGACACTTCCGTGCACAAATTCTGACGAGTGTAGGCGCTGCACATGTGCAGCAGTGGCGCGGGAGGAGGCAGGGTCGGTCTTAACATGCGGCTCTCGCTTGCGACTTCTTCTGGACCACGTGGACCTACCACGCACACGATTGCTTCAACAGTGACGATCGCACGGACGGGGGCTTGGTTCCCTTTTGAAAACGGGATTCTCGCTGGACGCCTCGTGAAGTTTCTTGATTTCATGTACCCATGCTGCGCTCCCTATTTTTTGCCAGCAGGGTGGCGGGGATGGGCACGTGCTGTCGGCACAGGTGGAAGGGGGGTTGGAGGAAGGGGAGGAGGATTAGGATGGGGAGAAGGACGGACGGGGCGGGATTGGGCAAGCTCGGTTGGGAAGTTCATCGCCCCCCCCTTTGGTACATACCCCATCCAGAGTAACGAGGGTGCAGGGCAGCCCCCTGTTCCAGCAGGGGGGCTCCCTCGCCCGAGAGAGGCAGGCTCACGGGTTGCTCGTCTTTCGAGGGGGTGCGCGCGCGCTGCAGTGCAGGGGGGAGGGCCTGCAGGGACACCGGTGGGGAGGCAACCTGGGACGGGAGGGCGAGCTGCAGCACCGTGGATTTCACCACCCACCAATCTCGGCCACGCGCAGAGCGGGGTATGTGGGAAGGGGGAAGGCTTCTTGAGCACACCCTTGCTTCTTAGAAGGCGCGGGCCTTGTCTGTAGATGTACGGCTGGGGCCTGCTAAGACGCAGCCTCCTTGTAAGATGCCTTCCCCCCTCCCCCTGCCTCCTTGTGCGCGCCGCCAGCAATTCACCCCAACCCAACCCGAAGGCCTCAATTTGCCATCCATTTCCAGTGTGGGGGGGTCGGGGAACATTGAGAACAACACATATGGATCCCAAGCCCCCCCAACCCGAAATTGGGGTCTTCGGGTTGGGTGAGTGTGGTCTGATGGGTAGTCAGGATACGTTTTGGATTCGATCTGGTTCCCCTCCTCAACGGACCGCTGCCCCATCTCCTCAAGGGGGCGCCTGAGGGCTTTGCAGGGCCCAGTGGGGAGGCAACTTGGGGCGGGAGGGCCAACTGCAGCACCGTGGGTGGATACGTCTTGGATTTGCTCTGGTCCCCTTCCCCCTCTGATGACCGCTTCCCGACCGCAAAGGCCTTCCCTGCTCTGGTTGCCTCCTGCTCCTGGTGCGTGGCGCGTCTCAGGCCAGCGGGGACTCCCGCCACTGTAAGACGGAGCAGGGCGCCCGATCACACAGGACAGCCGCCCCAGCTTGAGGAGGATGAAGAAAAGCACTAGGAGGAGGCGGAGGAGGAGGAGGAAAAAGAGGAGGAGGAGGGGGGTGGAGGAGGAGGAGGAGGAAGTGCGACCTTCTGCAGGAATAGCGCCTTCTACGCACACTTAGAAAATAGCATAAAAGCGGCACGCATCCTACAACATGGGCAAATGGGGCGACATGCAAGACGTGCAGCTACCAGTGCCACACTTACGCGCGATTCGTCAATCATCTCCAGTCTATTCCATCATGTGCGGTGCCATGGTTGATTGCCGCTGAACCATTCAACGACGAGGAAACGGAATAGCTTCGGGCTAACATACAAATCTCACAACGTGCCAATTTCAAAGCAGACAGACCACCTGACTTCGCCCACGCCCAAGTTCCGAGTTACAAGACTGACATCATCCCGACCTGTATCAAGGACACAGCGACAGCCCACAACACAACGCCACCAGCTGAACTCCCACAAGCAGGCCAATATGCACGCCATGCACCTCTACAGCGGCCATCAACGTGAAGGGGGCCTTCAGGAGTGGATGGGGCACTCCGCACCACCGGGTGCAACGCAGACCTACACCCTTTCGGTCGACATTGCCAACGACGAAAAAAAGGCTGGCGGCCCGACCCGATGGGAACCATTCGGATTTTGGATCCACCGAGTGCGAGATGGGAAAGCGGCCGCTATCGTGACAGGCCCACCATGCGAGACGTGGAGTGCAGCAAGGGCCCGCGACATCCCAGATGCGAAATTCCAGCCGCTATCTCTACGGACCCGAGATCAACCATGGGGGCCGAATTACTTGAAGGAGAAGGGGAGCAACCATATCGGCATCGGCAACCAGCATCTACCGGCGACAACTTTCATGATGTACGTCGCACGCGCTACTGGAATTGCCGCCATCATGGAGCACCCAGAGACAGTACATGACAGGAGGCAGGTACCGAGCAGCTGTCTTCTCCCTGAGATACGACATCTCCTGCGCCGACCCACCGTACGAATGGTATCCTTTGACCTGCGCGTGCTGGGGCCAATCGCCCGCGCGCCGACGGGCGGTAGGAGTATGAAGGCTGCCTGCACGTAAACTCGCCGAGCCCAACCAATGCAACTTAACCACGGCCGTTCTGCGCATCTACCAATTATTGGGCGAAGTTCGACTTGAACATTGCGCGGTGGGGCCGCGGACATATATATATACACATATATATATATATATATCTATCCCGCAGAGGTCAACCTGATACTTGCAGCTTCGCGATCCGAAACCACCCGACAAGATGGGCGACCTCGCGCCTTCAGCGCACCGTTGGACCCGCACTTCGATGTCAAACGCAGCGCCAATTGCGCGGGCCACCGACACCTCATGCAATGACGACCGTGGCCTTGACTGTATGGGAGTATCCGGCAAATTGTGCGGCTCGCGCAACTCGGGGCGTGTCCCTCGATGGGCGCGACCTCAGCTGCCGTTGAGCTGCGTCAGCCAGGGGGCCGCGCGCGCCTGACCTGAAAGGGGGCTATCTCGCCAGTCTGCGACGCGGAGGTTTACGCAAACGGAGACAAAAGCATCCAACCCATGACAACGACGCGCGCGCATCATCCCCCCTTTCAGCCCCTTGTCCAAGCGACGCAGATGTGGCTCAAGGATCTGGGTGCCGCCATTGAACCCGACGCGAGAGCGGCGCGAATCGCCGTGGAGCAGCCTGCTGTGCAGCCAGCAGCCAACTTAGCACGCGATCGGCAGTTTGGCAGCGGCACCGACCCGTGCACTACCGCCATCAATTTCATGGCCTTCAACCGCATCCCGAAGATCAACTTTGCGAGCCAGGCCACTTTCCATATCTCTGCTGCGCGAAAGAACCTTTCAGCAGCGAGCGAGGACATCGTGCATTAACTCATCCCGAACGGGCATCGCGGCAGCGCGCCATCAGCGATTCCGAGCTCCAGCAAGATGACATGCCAAGGTTGGGGCAGGACCAGAACGTGCGACCTGGGGCCGAGGTGCCCGACGACGCGCCACCAGAGGGGCCGCGCTTGGACCCGACCTTCGCCACATCAGGTGGGCGGGTGCCTGGCCGATCGCCGGGCGGCGTGCAGTCCGGTGTCTTGACCGCGGAATGCGCGCATGCATCGCCCTGTGCCAGCACCGCTGCGCGCTCGCCTACCTGGCCGCTACTAACCAGCCATGGATTAGAGCCGCCGACGAGAAGGCCGACATGGCGATGCGGGAGTTCTTCGCCGGGGACTGCATCGCCCCCGGCATCAGCCACATCGACCTGCGTTGCGCGGTCAGGTCGACTCACGCGCCGCGCTGCAGGCAAGCAGCGCGGGTGCGCGCCGAGGAATACGGCCGCGAGTCTACGCGTGGGCGAGCGCCGATCGCAGCGCCACCGTGGGGGCGGGTCAGGGAAATGGCAGTGGAGAGCCAACGCGAGGCACTCTCCGCGCAGGCGCTGAAGATGGCCGACTTCCAGGGCGCCGTAGTCCAAGCTATCCATTCACGGACCCGCGAAGTCTTTTGCATCCCCCGGGCGACGGATCGGAACGGCAACGGCGTGGACCAGTGCCGGGCCTCTCCCTTGCCGCTGCGCCTGGCCGACGCGCTCGCCGCCGGCCGAGGGCGCGCGCCCTCGCGCCGGCGATCTGATTACCGACAGGAACAACCTCCACATGCCGCCTCAGACTTGGGCAGGGCTTCGCGCGGAGGACGGAGATCCCAAAAGGCGACCTGGCATCGTCGGGTGGTGTTGCAGCAGATGAACTTCGCTACCTTCAGAACAAGAGCGCGGTCTACAGGGTGCCCATCAACCACTGCAACGAGATCTAAGGAAAGTGAGACATGCACTTCGGCCCGCCCTCGAACGGCATGCCGGAGTGGCCGATCCTCGAGAGGGCAGCGCGCCGCGCGCTGACGTCGCCGACGACGAGGGAAGTCCCTGCCACTGCGCCCCAACCAGTCGGCCGCAAGTGGGGGCGATCAGGCTAGGGGGGCCGCTGCGACCACAGCCAGCCCCGCGCGTCGAACTAGTCGGCATCAACGTGCTCGTCTGCACGCAGACAATGGCGAGGGGCATCCGCAACCTGATGCATCACATCCCGGCGGGCCTGCGCCAAGAGGATCTCCATCTGCATGGGCTCGCAAAGCGCCTCCGCGCATGCGCTGTCGCCCCATTCCAGAGAGGCGCTCTGGTCGTGGGACGTGACGGACCAAGACGCGAGCAACCTGCGCCAGTCGACCCAAAGACAAGCAACGGGATAATCGCAGCCAGCCCGACTTCACCGCGCCCTGTCAAGGCCCGACCCCGTCCCCGACCAACCGCAGTTTTTTTTGTTTTTTTTGTTTTTGGTTTGTCCCCTTTTTTTCCCCTCCCCCCTCTCCTTCTTCCTTTTGTTTTGCCCCGGTGTTTCCTCTTCTCCTCCGCCAGGCAGCTCGTCTTGGAGCCCGCGCGCTTTCGACGAGGCCATCCGACGAAGGGGGGCGCCCGGGGGATTCCCGTGAGTGTCTGAGTGCGGACTGCCGCTGACCAGGCCATGAGTCGCCTGCAAGTGCGCAGGTGGTGACTGCGTCTGGAAACGCCTAGTGCACAATTGCAGCCCGCCAGGGAGACGACATGGACAGAAACAGGAAACGCACTCTTGCAGGCAGGCCGGAGAAAGGGCCTCATCATCAGACATTGGGGATGTTCTTGCGATGGGAACTACAGCATCACCGCCGAGGGCCGCCCCAATCAGGACGCAGCCGCCGCCGACGACGCCCCCCCACCGCTCCGAGGCAGCCGCCGCCACCGCCTCAGGTTCTGTCTCTGACTGTCGACGTCGCTTCCCTCGACGACGTTTTCACAGGGTACCGCGACGACGTCGACTTCGAGAGCTGCGTGGGCCGACTAAAGCAGGCGCTTGACTACGTGACTGAGAGCGTTGTAACCGACGTGCAGCGGTCTGACACCGACGCTGGCCGCGTCGCGCGGCTGTTACTCACGAGTCAATGCGACAGCCTCGGCACTCAGATCGGAAGCTCATGCTCATCGCAGAGATCCACGCATCGCAGACGCGCGCCGCCATGGTGGACCCGAACGTCAGACCGCAAGACGCGACTGATGCGACGTTGCTGCCTGGCCTCTGGCCGCCCCGATTAGAGGGGCCCCCGCCCCCTCTAGCCATAAGGGGCTGGCCCCCGGCAGCACGTCGCGAGCGCGGCCTGCCCGCCGCAGAGGGCCGAAGGAGTCCATGACAACGACGCCAGTGCCAACAGACGCAATCCCGTTTCTCCAGCTACGCTGCAAAGCCCCATCGGACAGTTTGACGCCGCCCCCAGTCGCGAAGCTTGCCGCTGCAGAGACAGCGTGCGGCGGCGAGGGCGAGCGACCGAGCGCGCCTGAGTTATGGCGGGGCGCGCCTGTAAAGCCGCCGCCGACGACGCCATGCAAGCGAGAGACCAATGGGCCAGACGCGATCCAAACCGCGACAGGTCGAGCCAGAACAACCCCGAATACTAGACGACGACGACGCCGAGCGCATGCGAGCCGCAGTTGTAGAGCTCGTCAAGCTACCGCCTCATCCACCACCGCGAGGCATGACAACTGGAATGCGGATCAAGGCTCGCGTGCACGACGCCATCGAGCTCCTCGCTGCCGCGGTCAGCAACGACTTATGCGAGCGCGAGCACGTGATGTCCAATGTGCGCACCCACGAGGCCTTCCTACACCGCTACGACGAGATGCCCGAACTGATCGACCCAGAAGAGGCCGACAAAGACGCGAAAGTCGACGACCATAGCGTCGAGTACGACCAGGCCATGGCCTACGTAGAAGAGGCTCTCAGAAGGCATTGCCGGTCCCATGAGCTGCGCGACGCGCGCCCTTGCTATATGAACCAGCGATAATGAGACTTGGTGAACTACGCAAACCACCTCTTGGCTTTTTCCTGCGGACCTACCCTGCGGACCGCGGGCGCGATGACGTGCGTGACTATGCAGTGGTGTTACAGCTTAGGAGAGGCCTCCTCGCGGACACCAAGGTGTCAATGCGACGCAACCCCACTTGCGCGCCGACGCCATTCCTCGCTGCTGACCTACAGTTGGAGATTGCAATTGTGGTCAAGAGGGCCGAGCTAATTCCCCGCCAGACCCCCTCGTCAGATGCGAGGCAAGCAGGGCCGCCAGTGCCAGCGGCCAAGTCCGTGCCCATCGACTGTATGCGACATGCTGCCGCCTACAGACCCAGACTTCGGCACATTGTTTCAACGGCTCGGACACCTAGGCCAATGTTTATCGACTTCAGGACTGAGTGCATATGAGCAGGCCAACAAGGCCAGCTTCTTGCGGGGCAACGTGACCACGGGCCCGTCAGGCAAAACGGCAGCGAGCAGCGCCGCTGACCACCGCGTGCCACGCCAGCTGCAGCAGCACGCCATCGGCGACAGCAGCATGTCTGCAACGATTCGCAACATGCTCACGGACCAAAGCACCGAAATGGGCGCGCCCAACACCGGCGCGAGCAAGCCGGCAACGACGCTGCCGTCAGACGGACGCCGTAGTATCATCCACCAGGGCGACCAGCAGTAGACGGACCAGAACGCTCTCTTGCACGACGGGCCCGACCCATGGGAACCAGGGGCGACCGCGACATCGCCCTCAGACGGACGCTGCAGCTTCATCCACCAGGGCGACCAGCAGCAGACGGACCAGGAGGCCCTCCCACTCTACGGGGCCGACCCGTAGAAACCATTCCCGATTTGCGCAGACGTTGTCAAAGCGAACCAGCCTGACCAGCACGACCAATCTACGGCGAATCAGGGGAGTCCCGCCTGAACGTCCATGGCGCGAGGCAATCCTATCGATCGAGCCGACCTAACGGCGGTCCATCAGTGCGCTTCTCCCCGCGCAATGCACTTGTTTCGTGCTGACATGACCGCCAACTGCTGCGTGCCTACTCCCACCTCTACATTATCCATTGATCCGACGTGTGCGCGCTCACCGCAAATACGGAAGCAGCGCGGCAGGTGGTATGGGAGTCGTTTTTTCTTGGCATATTCACCCGGCAGTACTCTTCAGCGTGAACATCAATGGCGCCGGCGGCATATCGTGGATATCGGTGGCGACTGCGATCAAGAATGCTCGTTTGTATATGAGCCGCGGATCCTCGCGAACCTCCGACCTTCTCCCGCCTCCTGGCTCTTTTTCCGCGGCACCATCTCCCCCTGCCGCGCCCAGCTTACCTTCTCTTCGCCCCCCTCTACCGGCGGAGTGCGAGTCGCTTGCGGTGCGATGCGGGGGGGGGGGGGCGCTCGGGCTCGCCGCGGGCCGCCCTGGCAGGGTCCAGGGCGGACGCGGCCACGACTGGCCGCATGGCAGCGGCCGTCAGGGCACTTTCACCTCGGCAGCTGCGGTCACCAACGGGACCTCGGGGGCAGCAGATGCAACCATTAGGGCACCCCTTGCCACCCTTCAGCAGCGGCGACCAGCGGGGCACCACGTCCACCACCTCCGCCTCCTCCACCTGGGGTCCTCACAGATGGCAGGAACTACCTCCTCCTCCTCCACTTCGCCTCCACCTCCATCTCCGCCGCCCGTGCCGCCGCCGCAGATGGCAGAAGCCACCCCCACGTGCGGTGGAAACCTCCCGAAGCAGCTACCACTCCCTTGATCTGGGTGCCTTACTTTTGCCTCGGCGGGGGAGGGTGCCAGTCGTGGGGGGGGCGGTTGCTTAGGGGGGGGTTCCGGTGTTCCGGTGTGCAGGGGGTGGTGCCTTTCTGTAATCTGCCTTTGGCGAGCGTGGCTGGCGCGGCATTGCGCCGCCGCTGGGGGTTGGCCTGGACCTCCCTCCAGCGTGGTGGACCACCCCAAGGCGGCCAAGAAACCGACGCGCTGGGAACCCTACGCTTGCTTGCAGGCGAGGGATCCCGCCGTCGGCCTTTGGGGCGTTTTTGGGGGATTCCAATGGGCAGAGGGAGGGGCTTTTAGGCTTCTCCCGCTGCTGGCGGCTTCCCGCAGATGGCCCCGCGGAGTGATCTGCGCCCTCCAACCACTCCTGCACTTCCTTTAAACTGCCATCGCCTCCTCAGTCTGCTTGTAACTCTTTAACTTTGGCGCGCGCACTCGTGGCGCTGTAACTCTTTTCGCCCTGCCCCGTTTCAACTTCGCCACGTTGCCTTCATTCTACCCACGTGTACATTTTGTTCTCACTCTTTATTTGCACCTCACCTCCTATCCCCCCGTCCTCTGCCAAACACGGCACCCCTACGGGGCGGAACCTTGGGCGCCCTCCAGGGCGGCGGCTTACATGGCCACGCGAACCGAACGAGGAGGGACCCACGGAAGGCCTCTTCGGTCCCACCCGTGTTGCCGCCGCCACACTGCCGCCGCGTTGCAACAGTGTCTCTTCCTTTTTGTCCGTCCTGTTTTGTGATTTTGATGATGATGGTGGTGATGATGCTGATGATGCTGATGACCGTGGTGATGCTGATACTGCGGATGATGACGACGATGATGATGCTACTCGCCCCCTGTCATGCATGAGGACGAGAAGGAGGGGGAGGAAGATGAGGAGGAGAAGGGGGAGGGGGAGGAGGAAGAGGAGGAGGAGGAGGAGGAGGAGGAGGAGGAGGAGGAGGAGGAGCAGGAGGCGGAGGAGGAGGAGGGGGTGGACAAGGAGGAGGAGGAGGAGGAGGAGGAGGAGAAGAGGAAGAGGAGGAGGACAACGCAGAGGAGGAGGACAAGGAAGAGGAGAAGGAGGAGTAGGAGAACAAAAAGGAGGAGGAAAAGGAAAGGAAGAGGAGGAGGAGCAGAAGGAGGAGAAGGAGGAGGAGGAGGAGGAGGAGGAGGAGGAGCAGTGGGAGGAGAACGGAGGACAAAGGGAGGACAAAGGAGAAAGAGGAGGAGCAGGAGGATGAGGAGGCGGAGGAGGAGGAGGGGTGCAGGAGGAGGAGGAGGAGGAGGAGGAGGAGGGAGGAGGAGGAGGAGGAGGAGGAGGGGGCGGACGAAAAGGAGGAAATAGAGGAGGAGGAGGAGGAGGAGGAGGAGGAGGAGGAGGAGGAGGAGGAGGAAGAGGAGGAAGAGGAGGAGAGGAAGAAGAGGACGGAGGAAAAGGGAGGAGGAGGACGACGACGACGACGAGGAGGATGACGAGGAGGAGTAGGAGGGAGGAGGAGGAGGAGGAGGAGGAGGAGGAGGAGGAGGAGGAGGAGGAGGAGGAGGAGGAGGAGGAGGAGGAGGGAGGAGGAGGAGGAGGAGAGGAGGAGGAGGAGGAGGGAGGGAGGGAGGGGGACGGCAGGCTGGGGGGATGGACGGATGAGGGAGGCGGAGCAGCAGGAGGAGGAGGAGGAGGAGGAGGAGGAGGAGGAGGAGGAGGAGGAGGAGGAGGAAGAGGAGGCGGAGGAGGAGGAGGAGGAGGAGGAGGAGGAGGAGGAGGAGGAGGAGGAGGGAGGGACAAAGGGAGGGAGGGAGGAAGAAGGATGGAGGTATGGAAAGACCCAGGCCGTCGATTTCATTTTTTTCGCGACGTGGACCCTCAAGAGGTCTGGACCCCTTCCCGTGGAGTAGATTGTCATCCTGGATCACTTTGTCGACGGTCCCGGGGCCAGGGAAGGGCCCCCCAGAAGTTAGACACAGTGAAAGCCTTCTGTCGTGTTTTTTTGCGCGACGAGCACGTGTCTGGGCCCAAGGTTCTCGGATTAGATCTTGGCTCTCTGGCGCCGTTCGGGACGACCCGGGCACCCCCAGGACGTTCTCGGCGAGTCACAGCTGCCGGAGAGTGGCCCGAGGCTGGAAAACCACCGCGAACCGACGAATACGTATGAAAGCCTGGAGCCTCGCAAATCTCGAGCCTCGCAAATACCGAAAACATCGAGCCCCGAAAGCCTTTTGAAAACGTGTGCGAATCTTGAGCCCCGAACACCGCCGAAACCCTCGGAGAAATCCAGGTACACCCCGGGCCGCCCTGCGTTCCAGTTCGGCCCCTCGGGCCCTCGTCCGCTCGGGCTCTCACGGAGTCAGCGCGTCGATGCTGGCCCACGCGCAGCGAAGGCGAGACGAAACCTCGATGGGGTTCGCGAGGGGCGAGCGGGCGCCGAGCGCCCCCGCGAGGACCTGGAGCAGGCTCCTGGGGCTCCGGAGGGGCCCGGGCGGCTGAGGGGCCCTCCCGCCGCGCCGCTCGCCGGGCGCTCGCTGCCGCCCGTGGCGGGCGCTGCCGTCGGCGCGGTGGTCGGGACGGGGACGGAGAGCGCTCGGTGCCAAGCGCCCCCTGGCTGCAAGCCGACCGCGCCGACCGCCAGGGGGCCACATGCGAGCCCTGCCCCTGCCCCCCACGAGTTCTGAGGGGGAGGGTGGGGCAGGGTTCGCACGTGGCCCCCTGACCGCGGAACCCTGCGCTAGTCGGGGGCGGCGGAGAGGGGGGTGATGACTAGGGGGGGGGATAGCATGGCGTGGGCCATGCTGTTTCCTCAGATTCCGTGGCGCCTGTTCTTGTTTCTTTGCGTCCCTGGCCCCCTCCTGAGCGGCGCACACCCCGCCGCCCATGATTTGCGCCCCCCCCTCGTGGACGCCCCCGAGCTAGGAACCCTGCCCATGACTGACGGGGCTTGCAGCCAGGTGGCGCCTGCCCGGCGCAGGACGGTGGTCGGAACGGGGTCGCAAGGGTGGAGGCCCTGTTTGGGATCGAGTCCCAGGCGAAGAGGGAAAGTCGGCGGCGAGCCCAGGGGGGGACGTGAGGAGGGGCTGGCCTGCTCAGAAGGCTCCGAAGTCCCCCGACCTTCGGAGAAGCTTCCCTCGAAGTCACAGGGAAAACCTCCTAGAAGGCCGCAGGCCTTCTGAGAAGCCCCCGCCGCCCTCTGGGAGGGCCTTCTCCTTCTCACTTCCCCCCTCGCTCGCCGCCGAGAAACAGGCTTCGCGTTTCGCCCCGGCCAAATCGCCTACGGCGCAGCATCGGACGAGCGCCGTCGACGATGGGACCAGAGGCGGAGCGGAAGTGTGCAGGGCACAGTGGGGATTTCAGAGAATCCTGGACCCGCCAGAGCACCCGCCCTGCGGGCCCTGCGTGGGCACGGTCGGAGCGGGGACGGAACGCGGGTCCTCCTGGGAGGCCTTCGTTGCTACCGCTCGGCTCGCCTCGAACTTCCCCGTCAGAACGCGGGAAACGTCTTGGGAGCAGCGGTATCGGCATTTTCGGGTTTCCCACGAATGAGTGGATGCCCACTGGGATCGGCGCGGGGGCTGCCTGATCGCTCAGAACCCCCGCAAGCCACTCGGTGCACCTGTAACCATCTTGTAAGCTAGGCTCGGCCAGATCTGACCCACCTTGGCGTGCCCTGAGAACCCCCCGATCCTCTTGGCGACCCCTGCGCCGACCCCAGCAGGCTTCCCAGACCCCCTCGCGTCGTGAGAGCCTCACGGCGGACGGTCTTTGGCCAGTTCTGGCTTCCGGGGGCCCTCGCCGGGTCCAGGGACCGTCAGAGGACGACTCAGGAGGGAAATCAGAGGCGACGATAGGGGCGAATAGCCCAGGAGAGGCAATACATGTATCCAGGGGCGCCGATGATCTGTGTCTTCGACAAGGCTCCCGGGCGAATGCGTGTAATGCCCGCCCCTGGGCTATTTGCCCTCCTCGTCGCCGCCGAGGAACGCCGATCCTCAGGAAGGAGTCCTGACCTCTCGCGATACGTACGACTTTTTCGATCCGGGCGTCTTTCTTCTTTTCTAGACGCTTTTCGTAACCCCACCAATCCCCTCTAGAAACGATGCCCAGGCGAGTTGCCCTGATCAGGGATGTGGAAGAGCATGCAGTGGAACAGCAGACTGGGAGGCCGTCAATACCCCAGGGGGGGGAGGATGAAGGAATAATCGGAGGGGGAGGAAGGGGGAGGGGGAAACGGGAGGAACAGGAAGAGGAGGAGGAGGAGGAGGAGGAGGAGGAGGACGAGGACGAGGACAAGGACGAGGACGAGGGCGAGAATATGGCCAAAGGCCTCTTGGATGCCTCTCGGAGTTCTCGGATGTCTCTTCCAAGCTTCTGCGAGTCCTCTTGGAGCGTCGTGGGGCCTCTCGGTGGTCCTGGGGGCCTCGTAAAACGTCTTGGGTGCATCGGGGAAGCCTCTTGGGGCCTCTTGGAGGTCTGTTGGGAACCTCTTGGGGACCTCTTGGAGACCTCTTGGGGCTTTCTGGGCGGCCTGGGCGCATCTTTGGCCCCTCTTGGGGCACTCTTGCGAGCCGCCAGGGCCATCTTGGGGCCATCTTGAAGGAGATCGATCAAAGTGGTGGGGGACCACATTGCATATCGTAGTGCATTCCCCGCCCCAGGAGGCCGAAAGGGTCCCAACACCGACGCAAAGTAACTGGTTTGTGCCTTCTCGCCGATGCCTTCTTTGACGCTCTAATCGGGCGAGGGGTGCCCCGTCCAGGTCCAGTTGGAAGGTGTAGGCGGAGGGGTAAACCCCTCCCCGAAGGGGAAGGTGGGGGTTGGAAGAGGAACCTCCCTGGCCACTCACGCCCATAGGGCTGATGGGATTTCGGACTCCCGGGCCTGTTGTCGGGCACTGGGCCATCAAAAGCGTATCTGCAGCGTAAACTTTGCCCCTGTCGGGCAGGACGAGGACAAATCCGTTCCAGAGCGTTCCAGAACGCTCTCAGAGCGTTAAGGCGCCCGATAAATGTTCCAGATCCGCCGGATCTCAGAGTCCGGGGCTGCTAGAGGTGCCCCCGGCCCCAGGGGCCCCCAGCTTTTCGCTCCATTGTGGAGCCTTGGGCTTCGTGAGGCGTGCTCCGGAGGCCGTGGGGGCCTCCCTGGAAATCCTGGGAGCTCTTTGGGCCAGGGGCACTTCCAGCAACACCCGACAGAGATTGTCGATCTATCCTCACCTAATTTTATGCTCGTCCTGGCTTCGTCTTACCCTGGGAGCCAGTCGGCGCATCCCTGAGGCCGCGGATTGAAACAAATCACGTCGGCCAGAGGTCTGGGGTAGAGGCCCAGGCGTCTACGGGGTCTTGAAGACATCAGGACGTCGGCTTCTGGCCGCTCTCGGCCACCAGGAGGGGGCCCCTGCTGGGCTCCAGGGTGTTCAACAAGAGTGGCACAGGATGAAACCACTCCACTGGGCCCAAGGTGTCGACCGCCTTCAAAAAAAAAAAAAGAAAAAAAAAAAAAAACACTCCCCTGGGCCCCCCTGGTCCCCGTTTTTTATTCATTGTTTCGCCGATCGGCGCAGGCCCCTGGCCTCCCCCCTCCCCCTCCCTCCATGGACCAGATCTTGATTGCATTTGGTGGGTGATTCTGGCGACTGGTCAGGACCTCCCCCCTCCCCCTCCCTCCATGGACCAGATCTTGATGGCATTTGGTGGGTGATTCTGGCGACTGGTCAGGACCCCTTCCGCCCAATCCGATGGCGCGACTGGCAACAGCAGATCGACTCGGCACTGGCCCAGACCCTCCCCCACCCACCCTTCCCACCCTTCGGCCTACCTGGCCTTGGGGAATGGTCGGGACTCCCGGAGATCCCGTATCGAGCGAAAACAGCACGTCGGATATCTGGGGGCCACGCCCAACCCCAGTCCTTACCGATTTTGACCCGGTTTCGCCGTCGTCTTTTCCCGCGGACGCTGTCCACTTCGAGGAGGTTGCCCGCTAAACAGCGGCCGCTGCCGATTTCGGACAACAGTTGCTGTTCGGCGTTGGACCTTTTTGTCCGTGTCCATTCCGAGTGTCCGCTTTTCGAAGAAGGTAAGCACTGCATAGTTATCAGTTTTCGGCGGTCCGCGCGGATGTCTTTGGTCGACGATGTGCCCCCTTCCCTGGCGCGCGAAGCGCGTCATTGGTGGCGCAGGCGGCGCCCCAGGGGGTTCGGCGAGGATCTGAGGCATCCGCGCTGACCTACGAAAGCTTGTGCTTATGTAGTTGTTTGTCCTTCTTCTTCTCTGGCGATCGCTGGTGGCTATTCAGTATTGCTGTCATGACACGCGAAACCCGTTGCCTGCCTCCTCTTCCCAGGGCTCGATCTCAACGTCGTTTTGGCGATTTCGTGAACCGTTTTCGTTTTGATTTCGTTTTGCACCTCAGCCGGAGCGAAGACAGGACGGGGGAAGACGAAAACAGAACGAACACGGGAAACACCGTTTAGGTCGAACCCAGCCTTGGCCTCCTCCGCCCCTTCCTCTTTGCGCTGCGTCGTGACGGCGGCCAGGCACGGCCAGCACAGGCCTGCTTCCTGGGTCAGGGGCTGCGGTCCGCGGGCCGGAGGGAGTCTTGAGGCTCTTCTCGGGCGGGTGGTAACGGGGGGTGCATCAAATGGGAGTGGAAGAAGAGGGCCCTAAGGGGGCCCTTTAGGGCTCCTTCTGGGCCCCTTTAGGATCCTTTTAGGGCCCCTTCTGGCTTCAAAAGGGGCCCCGAAGCGCCCCTTCAGGGCCCTTCTCTTCACCCCCCATCTAGGTCACCCCCCACTGCTACCCGCCCAACCCAAAGGCGGTACGATTTTATCGGGTCGAGTTGTAATCAATCGCGCGCTCAATGGGAGGAACAAATGAAACCCGTTCGCTTGACGGCGGTCGCCAATGCGAGTATTGGTCGCATGTGCAGTGCATTCGCGAGTGTTCGCCGCAGTCGCGGCGCACTTAAAGGAGTGCGGCGCAGTTTGGGTCGGCAGCAGGCCGCGCACCCGCAGCCTCGACCACCGCGCGGAGGGCGCCATCTGCAGGGCGAACTGGGGGAGAGCTGGGGGGGAGCTCTTCTCGGTATCAGCTTAGCATACTTGCATTATGCATGCGTCTGGCTTTGCGCAGTGCTGGTGCAAGTGGGCATACGTGGGGCTGGCCAAAGTGAACAGGTTACGTTCTCGGCCGGCACCTCCTCCCTCGCCCCCCCGCGAGATAACCCGGGCTATCGTGGAACATTGATTAGTCCGACGCAGGACCCTCATGAGCATCTCTTTTAGTTTATTTGACAGTAATCCTCACTTCCTTTCCGTCCCATCCCCGGGTTTAAACAAATCATGAGGTGCCCCATAGAGAGTGAGGTCCCGCTCGACACTTCATCACAAGTCACTCACGGACAAGGCTCCTGTCCAAGATCTTTTCTATTATCAATCCCCAGGAGCTCAGGAGTGACGATAGTAGTTACAGGTTTCGAATGACCTCCTGTGGCTCAAATCATGAAGTGCGGACCGCAGAGGGAGTGGGCTCCCGCTTGAGATTTTGCCCGACCTGAGACTTCCTGAAGATTGAAGTCACGTTAGATCAAACGTGACAACAGTTACAGTTTTGGAATGACCCTCTGTGATTCAAATCAGGAGGTGCTGGTCCCAGAGGGAGGGGGCTCCTGCCTGAGACTTTCACGCCATGCACTCACAGTAAAGGTTCCCGCCGGAGACTCCCTAGATATTCCAGCATCAGGATCTGAAACGTGACGACAGTTTCAGGTTCCGAACGACCCCGTGGGAATAAGAACATAAGGTGGTTCACGCCTGAGCCTTCCTTGAAATTTACTCACAGACCAAGCTCCCGCCTGAGTCCTCCTGAAGATTTAAGCCTCAGGGGCCCCAGCTTGATGGCAGTTGCAGGCTTGGAATGACCTCCTGCGTTTTAAGTCATGAGGTGAGGGAGGGGGCTCCCGCCAGAAGCTTCACCACAATTCACTTTCAGACGAGGCTCCCGCCTGAGACTCCCTTAAGATTGAAGCCTCTGGAGCTCAAACGTGGCAAAAGTTATAGATTCCGAAAGGCCTCCTCAAAGTAACAACGTGAGGTGCAGACCCCAGAGGGAGAGGGCTCCCGCCTGAGACTTCCTCGCAATTCTTTCACAGACGAGGCTTCCGCCTGACCTGAAGGTTGAAGCCTCGGTGGCCCTGATGATGATGATGATGAGGATGATGATGCTGATGATAATGATGATGGTGGTGGTGGTGGTGGTGGTGGTGATGATGATGATGGTGAGTGAGTGAGTGAGTGAGTGAGCGAGCGAGCGAGTGAGTGAGTGAGTGAGTGAGTGAATGAGTAATGATGATGTTGATGACGATTGTGATGACGACGCTGACGAGGATGACGTGTATGAACATGAGTATGAGACTAGTATGAGGATGAGGATGAGGAGTGTGATGGCGATGCTGCTGATAATGACGATGATTCTGCTGATGCTGATGATGATGCTGATGATGATGATGCTGATGATGATGATGATGATGATGACGGAGGCGAAATGATTCTGCTGATGCTGATGATGATGCTGATGATGATGATGATGATGCTGATGATGATGATGACGGAGGCGATGATGATGTGATGATGATGCCGCTGATGATGATGCTACTGATACCGATGCTGATGTTGCTGATGATGCTGATGCTGATGCTGATGATGATAAGGATGCTGATGATGATGATGATGTTGGATGATGGCGATGACATGTGTGTGATTGCATGCGTCATTGAAGGAGTCAGTGAGTGAGGGAGTGAATCAGTGCGTGAGAGGAGTCAGTGAGTGAGTCAGTGAGTGAGTGAAGGAGTCAGTGAGTGAGGGAGTGAGTGAGCGAGGGAGTGAGGAAGTGACTGAAGGGAGTCAATGATTCAGTGAGCGATGATGCTGCTGATGCTGATGATGCTGATGATGATGACGATGATGATGACGCTGACGCTGACGATGATGATGCTGCTGCTGATGATGATGATGCTTATGATGATCATGCTGCTGATGATGATGCTTATTATGATGATGATGATGATGATGATGATGATGATGATGATGATGATGATGATGATGATGATGATGATGATGATGATGATGGTGATGATGATGATGATAGTGATGGTGATGATGATGGACCTGATGCTGCTGCTGATGATGCCGTCTATGGTGATGAGGAGGTTGCCTATTTTGTTTGATGATGGTAGTGGTGATGATGGTTGTGGTGATGATGATGGTGCTGATGTTGATGACGATGCTGATGAAGCGGATGCTGACAAGTGTAATGCTTCTGCTGCTGGTGATGATGCTGCCGATGATGCTGTTGAGTCTTATGTTGATGATGATGACAATGCTGATGCTGGTGCTGCTGCTGCCGATGATGATGCTGTGGATGGCGATGATGCTGATGATGCTGCGGATGATGGTGCTGATGCTGATGATGCTGATGATACTGCGGATGATGATGATGATGATGATGATGATGATGATGATGATGATGATGATGAGGATGAGGATGATGATGATGATGATTATGATGTTGCTGCTGCTGCTGCCGCTGATGATGATGATGATGAGGATGGCGATGATGATGATGCTGATGATGATGATGCTGATGATACTGCGGCTGCTGCTGATGATGAGGAGGATGATGACGATGATGATGCTGATGATGATGATGATAATGAGGATGAGGATGAGGATGAGGATGAGGATGAGGATGAGGATGATGATGATGATGATGATGATGATGATGATGATGAAGATGATGATGATGATGATGATGATGATGATGATGATGATGATGATGATGATGACGATGATGGGAGTGCACGAGTGACACAGAGAATGGGAAGGGGGTGAGGTTTTCCTGCGCGGAGAGGTATCCAGAGAAAATAATATATCCACGTTGGATTTGAAACAGCCTCTCATGACATACCATACGATGTTTGTACTAGGTCTTCGGTTTGGACGCGCGCCTCCAAGGGACGCGCATAGTATTGGTATGTCCCCAAGCGTCCCATCGTTGGCCTCGTCGTCGTCGTCGTCGTCTTCCTCCTCCAATGCGTCCTGGCTACGTCCGAGGCTTAGCTCAGGAGTGCAGACAGCCCACGAGAATTCAGATCAGAGCTTTCAAGCGAAATTGCAGAGGGTTGCGCGCTAAGAGGTCCGTCTTCACCGTTGAGGCGGTTCTGTGGTGCTGATCATCAACCCTGTAGCTCATACCACAAATCTTCCAACTCCTCCTGTTGCTCCTGCTGTCTCCTACTCCTCCTCCTCCTACTCCTTCGTTGGTAGACGAGCCGATCCGATCCTCCCCCCCTCCTCCCCCTCCCTCTCCCCGCCTCCTTCCCCTCCTTCCTCCTCTTTCTCCTCCTCCCGCCGCCCCATCCTTCTCGAAAGGGGGAGGCATCGACCTCCTTTGCCGATCCTTGTCGCCTCGCGTATCCTCATCAGCTCCCGTCAACTTTCCGAGCTCGCCTGCTGTTGTGTGACTTCTCCGCGCTGCAGGCTTGTCTCGCGTTTGACTCTTGACGCCGCACAGCTGCCCGCTTGCGGTTGCGGGCGAAAAAAGTATCCTCACCATCCTCCTCCTCCTCCTCCTCCTCCTCCTCCTCCTGCGGCCTGACCCTCGGAGGCGTGCACCGAGGCGGCGGCCGTCCCTCGTGGCGGCTCCATCCGCGCGCGAGCGGGCGCTCTGCCCTCCCCAGCGCTGCGGGGGGGATCGGCTCCGGGGTGGGGACGACGGGCTCGGGGTTCGAGGTTCTGGGGCGCTCTGCGCGGGCTCGCGGCGGTCTTCCAGCCCGTGGTGAGCAGCCGCGCCTCGCCGCGGGCGTTCCGCGCCGTGCCCAGCTCGTGGTGAGCGGTCGCCGCCGCGCAGAGGTATGACCGGGGAGCCATGGGGGGCAGCGTCGGGGGGGGGGATGGGCTGAGGTCGGAGGGCACCAACTATACACCAACGCCGATCCTGGCCCAGGATCACCCTGGGCCCAGGATCGGTGTATATGCCTTCTTGCGCAGGGCAGGAGGGCGTCCACACCGATCCTGGGCCCAGGGTGATCCTGGGCCAGGATCGGTGTTGGTGTATAGTTGGTGCCTTCCTATGATGGGGGGTCTGCATCGGCCCCCCGTCGCCAAGTCATCGCCGGTGGCCAGGGCCGCGCAAGCATGGATCTCGGCGCGTCTCGGCGACGGGCCCCGCTTCCGCGCAGGGTCGGGCTGCTGCGTCGCCCAGCCGGGCGAGGCTGGCCTCGTGTCTCGGGCGTGCCCTGCCCGATCCGTGGACCGGGCGCCCACGCGCCAGATCCACGGGTCCTCCTCGTCCTCCTCGTCCTCGTCGACCTCCTCGTCCTCCTCGTCCTCATCGTCCTCCTCGTCCTCCTCGTCCTCGTCCTCCTTCTCCTCCTCCTCCTCCTCCTCCTCCTCCTCCTCCTCCTCCTTCTCCTCTTCCTCCACTCCATGCCAGCGTGTGCCCGAGATGAGGGGGCTGGTAGCCCCAGTCCGCCCAGGAGCGTGCCGTTTCGGCCTCGGGGGCCCCTCGCCGATCGATCGGCGACGGGCCGCCGAGTCCAGGTCAATGCTGTCCCCCCTGAGCTGGGCTCCCCTATGGTTACCCGTCACGATGCCTCTGCGGCTGCTTCCTCCTTCGCCCTTTGCCTCTCCTCGAAGAGGGCCACAAGTGAACCCTACCCCTACCCCCCACGATTTCTGAGGGGGAGGGTGGGGTTCACTTCGCTTGGGAGCTCCCGAACGAAGTGAACCCCACCCTCCCCCTCAGAAATCGTGGGGGGTAGGGGTAGGGTTCGCACGTGGCCCCCTACCTCGTGCGTGCGTTCACGAGTAATCAGCTGGGACCGTGTCTGCGTCTGTTGGCCAAGAGTAGCTTCACCAGCCCGTTCATCAGAGCTGGTTCGGTGCCTATGCCGAAGTCGGCCAGCTCGATCCCGCTCTATTTTGAAATTCCGACGTTCCGACGCTGCCCGATGCTCGCATGGCCCCGTTGAGCATTCCGGCGCAGCTGATCCGATTCGATTCCGACTCCGTACCGTTGTGGCCCCGATTCGATGCAAGTGTCAGTCCGATCCGATCTCATTCGATTCGATCTCAATTGGTCCTGCCCATCATTCAACCCTTCGTGGGCGGAAAGCATGCGCTCGAAACATGGACACAAGAGCGTCGTCATCGTTTTGCCGATGCGCGCGGGCCCTCGCACCCCGTGACCCCCTCTGTGGAGTAGATTCTGGCTGTTCGTGGCGCCTGCTTCAAGCAGGTGGAGTTAAGCACGAGGGCCCCGCCTCCCCACAGGATCCCCCTTGGGAGCACTGTCCCAAACCGTCGCACTAAGCAGAGGCTCTGAGCCAGACCCCCCCGACCGCCACTTCACGGACCTCTCGCGGGGTGCATTCTGACCAGGATCTCGAGGCGAATCCAGCCGTGGCGATGAGGGGAGGGCAGCGGAGTCGGCAAAGTCCACAAGGCAAGCGGCCGTAGCGACGAGGGAAGGGGGTACGACAGGGCATGGTGTACGACAAGTACTTGCGCTCAGAATGCACCCCGCGAAGGGACACCATCCGCTCGATGTTGAACGCCGAATTATGAAAACGTTGGCCAAAAGCACGAGTCTCGTCGCCGAGAGAGCCCAAGGCCCCGTGGTTATACGCCAAACGAAGGACACGTTCCAAGGTGGAGAGCCCAAGCATGAAGATCATCAGGGTACCACCCCAAGTCTAGAGCTGCTCTGGACTGTCGTTCCATCTTGATTCACTCAGCAGGGGCAAACAAACGTCGATCTCCAGGAGCATAGGGGGGATCTGGGAAGTGGAGCGGAAGACGAGCATCCAGGAAATGTGGAAGATATGGGGAACCCTGGGATGTTTGTCATTCATTTGTGTGTCCCTGGGCCCCTTCATTCACATCCACTGCCTCGCGGTCTGGACTCCTTGGCCGCGACCCCGTGGATGTTGCGTGGCTCTGCACGGATGCCTTCGCCTCGGCGTCCAGAGAGCGAGGGCACGGACATGTTTATTTACTTGCCCCCTCCTCCCTCTCGGGTGACGACAGTCCTCCTCTTCCTCGTCCTATCCCTCGTCCTCTGGAGCCTCGGGGGTGCCCCTCGACGCCACGGCTGGAATCGACTCGCGAGGCGGACCAGGAGCCGATCTTTGCAGGAGGGACGACGAAGGGGATGACGACGACCGTTGCCGGAGTGGACGGAGTAGTGCTCACAGAAGTGTAACCCGAGGAGGAGGAGCAGGAGGGTGAGGAGGATTTTTTTGTTGTCTGTACATGTGTGTGTGTGTGTGTGTGTGTGCCTACCCTCCGTGTCCGCCGTCTCTCTGCTTGCCGCCGGGTCCGCCAGCAGTCGGGATTTGTTCGCTCTCCTGGTCTGCCTCGGCTCCTCGTCCTCGCCAGCCTTCCTGCGTCTCCGCTGTGCCTCGCCTCGTCAACCAGCGGCTGTCGCAGCGGCCTGTCGGCGTAGCTCTCTGCGTCGTCGCCTCCCCTCCCCGCCCGCGCTCCCCACGCCCGGGCATGCGCACGGAATGGTTGGTCCCTCGGGTGGATCCCTGCGTCTTCTTCTAAGGGGCCGGCCGCGCGCGTCCAGCGCCCCCGACTTTCTACGCCTCGTGGCTGCGCACGAGACCGCGGTGCCAAAGAGTGTGTGTGTGTGTGTGTGTGTGTCCAGCTGCGGGCTCCGACGCCGCGTCGTCTCAGAGGAGGGTCCCATCCCGCGGTCTCTTCGCGGCCTCACGGGAGCCGCGCGTCTAGACGCTGAGCGCCCTCCATGACATGTTGCCATCTCCACATGCCTATCCTCCTTCGGCCTCGACTGTTGCTCGTTCGCTCGTTGAGTGCACGCTGGTCGATGGCTCGGCCTTGTCGTGTCGCTTGTCGTGCCCCCTGTCGCGTCGCCTGCTTCGCCCTCTGTGCGGGACCCCCCCCTGTCGGTGGTCCCCGCCATCCACGCCCGGATGGCATATGGCGCTGCTTCCCCGTGAGTCCAGCGCGCGCGCGGGGCCCTGGCCGCTGCACTGGATCTTCTTCGCCTCTTCGCTGCGCGCGATGCCGCGACCACCACAACTGTGTTTGTGTGTGTGTGTGTGTGTGTGTGTGTGTGTGTGTGTGTGTGTCCGCTTGGGTGCGTGGGTGTGTGGTTGCGTGCTTGCGCGCGTGTGTGGGTGCATTTGTGTGTGTGTGTGTGTGTGTGTGTGCGTGTGTGTGTGTGTATGTGTGTGTGTGTGCGTGTGTGTATGTTGTTGTTTTGGGGAGGGAGGGAGGGGGCAGGTCAGAAGTTGTTAGGGAGGATGGAGTGAAGAGGTAGGGAAGATGCGGGAGGATAGTCGGTGAGGGGGGCGGCCATCCCTATTTCTGATACTGTTCGTGCTCATTGTCCCTGCGTGCCTCCGTCGTGACCGACTGCCACTTGCCCGCCCCGCTTCGAAGGGCTTCGTCCTGCTTCTATGAGGGCTGTCGCTTGCGATGTGGGAATTTCTTGGGCTGTTGTCCGAATTCGCGTGAATGCAGCCGGTGGACGCTTTGCCGGCTTAACTGTCATGCATGGGGTGCCCTGTTGTGTTTTAAGGAGGCGCGCACGGCACGCCTCCGTTCGAACATGAGTCGCAAGTTTGTTGTTCACCGAGCGCGTTCCACTACTCGCAAAGTGCCTACTCGCAAACGTCAGAAAACACAGCAGGTCTCCCTCTATGTAACGGATCGTAAATCCACCGCGGCGGATCCAGGCCATTTGCGAGTAGTTACTTGGCGAGTAGTGGAACGCGCTTGTCCAGTTGTGGGCTGGTGCACGAGCAGACAAAGTCCGCAGTTGGCGGGCGAAGGTCTGAGCGGCTCCAGTCAGCTGATCAAGCGAATGCCCTAAGGGTGCCCTCGAGGGCGCGCCGATATTCGCGTTTTCCGGTTTGGTTTCGATTCCTCATCCTCCTTTCCTCTCTTGGGGTCGGCGCGAGAGCGCGAAGGTATTCGCGCTTCGCGCAGCGTGGAACGCGAAGTTTGGCGCCCTTGTGATTTATCGCTCTCTGGCTCATCCATGTGCTGTGTCGTCTCAGGCACGGTCTAATGGGCGAGTTACGCCGAAAGCGCGGCTTTGAGTGCGACGCGCATCCTTCCGCTTCACGTTCTGGGACTTCATGTCCTTCGCCTTGGGGTCCGCGCACTTTGCTCGGCGTGAACACGTAAACCAGTGGAAGAAATTCTTGACGCTTCGTGTATCCCCTACCGCACACCACGCATCGCGTGTAATTTGCCATGTTCCGTTGCCCCGGGCCTCGCTGTTGCTGCCAGACCGTTGTCGCGCGGCCGCCGACCAAAAAAGTATTCCCTACCGCCTCGGGCGCGCCTCACTGGGGTTGCTGGCTCGCCCCTGGCCCTCAGGAGACCCTTGCTCCTGGCCCACCTTTGCGGCCTCTCGCCCCCTGGATGATCGCCGCCCCCCCTTGCCCGCCTTAGGCGCTGCCCAGGGGCCCTGGTCCCCCCCCTCCGCGGAGTGACCCGTACTGCTAGATCCCTTGCGGCAACAGGTCTGGCCGCCTGACGCAGCACACTACCACAACCACCTCGTGACTGTTAGTCGCACCCCCCGCCACTCCCCGTTGCGCCCCTCTGCACTACCCTGCGGCTGTCAGTCGCTTCTCACCTCACCTGCCCCTCGGGGTTGCTCCCTATCTACTACGCGACTGTCAGTCGCTCCCCACCGACTCCCCTCCCCTGCACTTACGCTGCCTTTACGACGCTCCTTTCTGCGGCTGTCAGTCGCCTCTCCCTGGTCTCCGTCCCCCACGCCCGCCCTCCGTTTGTTCCACTTCAAACTACATTGGGATTCTCGCAGTCCCTGCCACCGCCCCGCCGCGGGCGGCCTCCTTGCCTGCGCCCTCAGTCTAAGGATGGGAGGGGGGAGGAAGGAGGAGGGGAAGGAGGCATTGGGCAGGAGGAGGAGGACAGGGTCCCAAGGTTTCGGTGGGGATCGCTCGAAACATTTGTTTGTAATTACTTTTTGGGGGTATTAGTTTGAATGGTTTTTGGCTATGTTTTATTTTCCGTCAAAAATCCGCCAGTAGGGGGACATGCCCGACCCAATCCTAGCTCTCCCGAAATTGGGCAGTCTTGAGAGCAGCGCCGCTATGCTGCAGCTGGTCGTGGGCGTCACGCTGCGTGGTTGTGGCGGTGGCCTTTGTTTGCTTGGGAACTTCCGTGGGCTCCCTTTGGGGCTTTTTTGAGACGTCTTGGGGGCCTCCTAGGGACTCGCCCTAGCCGGAGGAGGAGGAGGAGGAGGAGGAGAAGGAGGAGGAGGAGGCGGAGGAGGAGGAGGAGGAGGCGGAGGAGGAGGAGGAGGAGGGGAATTGGAGGGGAGGGGGGGGAGGGGGAGGGGGAGGGGGAGGCGGAGGGGGGAGGGGGGGGGAGGGGGGGGGGGGGAGGGGAGGGGAGGGAGGGGGGAGGGGGAGGGGAGGGGGAGGAGGAGGAGGAGGAGGAGGAGGAGGAGGAGGAGGAGGCCAGTGGCGAAGCGTCCTGGCTCTCCTATAAGCCCTCGAAAGAGTGTTATTGGATCCTGTTGTGGTCTGCGCGAGACGTTCTTAAACCATTTCTTGCGGAATCTGCTTTGGTTTAACACATCGGGTTTCTGTTCCAAGAACACTGTTTTTGTTCTTGGAACGTTTAGGGGTTCTAAGACAGTTTTGCGGTAGGCCTATAGGAATGCCGGGACGGTCGGTCCCTGCTCAATTCGGGGCCGTCTTTTGGGGGGGCTCTTCACCACCAACCAAGCCACCCCAACCCAACCCGAAGGCCTCAATCTGGCTTCCATTTCCAGTAGGGGGGGGATCGGGGAACATTGAGAAACCACATATGGAACCCGTGCCCCCCCCAACCCGAAATTCTTTACGCTTCGCGTATCCCCACCAGCCCATCTCACAGCAGCAACTCTTGCGAAGCATGCCGACCGTCGTGTTTTTCAGGCGTGTGTCCGCTTGGCCCCGCATATCTCCCCTGTTCCTCCTTCCTCCCGCCTCCTTGTACATCCTCCTTGTGGGGGGAGCGGGAGAAGGACGAGGCGGAGGAGGAGGGAGAGAAAGCGCTCCTCGTGATTTGAGTCGTTTGGGGTTTCTCGTCCTGGTGTGAGTCGTTCGGGCCCTTCTTCCTGGTGTGAGTCGTTCGGGCTCTTCGTGGTGTGAGTCGTTCGGGCTCTTCGTCCTGGTGTGAGTCGTTCGGGCTTCTCGTGGTGTGAGTTGTTCGGGCCCCTCATCCTGGTGTGAGTCGTTCGGGCCCCTCCTCCTGGTGTGACTCGTTCGGGCTCCTCGTGGTGTGAGTCGTTCGGGGCCCGCGTCGTGGTGTGAGTCGTTCGGGCTCCTCGTGGTGTGAGTCGTTGGGGCCCCTCGTCCTGGGGTGAGTCGTTCGGGCTCCTCCTCCTGGTGTGAGTCGTTCGGGCTCCTCGTGGTGTGAGTCGTTCGGGGTCTCTCGTTCTGGTGTGAGTCGTTCGGGCTCCTCGTGGGGCCTGTTGGGGGCCTCTTGGGGCCTCTTGGGGCCTCTTGGGGGCCTGTTGGACGCCTCTTGGGGACCTCTTGGGGGCCTCTTGGAGCCTCTTGGGGCCTCTTGGGGGCCTCTAGGGAGCCTCTTGGGGACATCTTGGGGCCTCTTGGGGGCCTCTTGGGGGCCTCTTGGAGGCCTCTTGGGAGCCTCCTGGGGGCCTCTTGGGGCTATCTTGGGGCCTCTTGCGACCTCCTCAGAAGCGCTAATAAGCGCTGACCCCTGAGAAGGACAAACTGAGCCCAAAACCTTCGTAAAATCAATGATTTTGCTAAGACGGCAGAGGAACGCGGCCCCCTCAGAAGGCCAAAATGGGGCCAACACCGTAGTAAAATCAATGTTTTTTACTTCAAAGACGGTCTGAGGCGCCAAACGGTCCCCCCCCCCCCTTGGGGCCAGAATCCTCGTGAGGGTCCTCGTTTTTTGGTCCTCCCAGGAGTCGAAAAAGACCCCCTTGATTGCACTCGGCCCGCCCTCTCCAGGCCCAGGGGGAGGGGTTAGGGGAGGGGTAAACCCCTCCCCGAAGGGGAAGAAGAGGGGTAGGGGGTTGAGAACAGAGAAAGCTCCCTAAACCACTCACGCCCAAAGGGCTGGTGGGAGTACAAGTAGTAGTAATCGTAGGGGAAAGAGTAGTAGTAGATGTCTTTTGGAAGCTGCTCGGAGGCCTCTTCGGGCGTCTTCGGCGCCTCTTGGGGCCTCTTGGGGGCCTCTTGGGGGTATCTTTGGGGCCTCATGGAGGCGTCGTGGTGCCTCCTGGGGACCTCTTGTGGGCCATCTGGGCACCTCTTGGGGCCATATGGTGGACCTCTGGGGGCCCTCTTGGGGGGCTTCTATGAGCGCTGCCCCTCCTCCTGGTGTGAGTCGTTCGGGCTCCTCGTGGTGTGAGTCGTTCGAGGCCCGCGTCGTGGTGTGAGTCGTTCGGGCTCCTCGTGGTGTGAATGGGTCGGGCGTCTCGTCCTGGTATGAGTCGTTCGGGCTCCTCGTTGTGGTGTGAGTCGTTCGGGCTCTTCGTGGTGTGAGTCGTTCGGGCCCCTCGTCCTGGTGTGAGTCGTTCGGGCTCCTCGTGGGGCCTCTTGGGAGCCTCTTGGGGGCCTCTTGGGCGCCTCTTGGGGGCCTCTTGGGGGCCTCTTGGGAGCCTCTTGGGGGCCTCTGAGGGGCTCTTGGGCCTCTTCGGGGCCTCTTGGGGGCCTGTTGGGAGCCTCTGGAAGCCTCTTCGGGGCCTCTTGGGGGCCTGTTGGGAGCCTCTGGAAGCCTCTTGGGGGCCTCGTGGGGGCCTCTGGGAGGCCTCTTGGGAGCCTCCTGGGGGCATCTTGGAGCCTCTTGGGGGCCTCGAGCGACCTCCGCAGAAGCGCAAATGAGCGCTACCCCCTGAGAAGAACAAAATGAGCCCAAAACCTTCGTACAATCAATGATTTTGAGAACGAGGAAGAGGAGCGCTGCCCCCTCAGAAGGCCAAAATGACGCCGAAACCGTAGTAAGATCAATGATTTTGGCTTCACAGAAGAGGAGAGGGACCTAAGGGCGTCCCCCCGTCGGGGCCAGAATCCTCGTGAGGGTCGTCGTTTTTTGGCCCTCCCAGGAGTCGGAAAAGACCCCTCCAACGACCCACGGGACTCCCTCTCCAGACCCAGGGGGAGGGGGTAGGGGGAGGGGTAAACCCCTCCCCGAAGGGGAAAAAGGGGGTTGGGGGGGTGAGAACAGAGAAAGCTCCCTAAACCACTCACGCCCAAAGGGCTGGTGGGATTCGGGTCTTCGGGTTGCGATGGGGTGGTCTCTTAGGAAGTCGCTATCGGGGCCCTAGTGGGCTTCTCCGGGCCGGGCGACGGGAGGGGACGGGCAGGGGGGGGGGTACGAAATCTGCTGCGTGCAGCTGGTCTCGGCCCCGCCGCCAGCCGCCGCTCCTCGATGCACCATAGGAGCGGAGGAAGGACGTACACGTACATGAACCCACGTTGGTTTCGAAAGCACGCACGGGGGGCGAACGTTCGTATCGTGAGGCTGGTCTCGCGGACTGGGGGGCCG